TAGGTGCGGCAGCTTACACAGCCTGGAGTTTCTTCTTCCTTCTTAGGACTCTGCAAGGAAATGTGAGACAGACCTTCCCTTTTTACACTGGGAGCACACCTGGGCTCTGTCCACAATAAAACGGCCAGGACTACTGTTTTGGAAACAGGGTATGCCCACGTAATTGTGACCAGATAGTTTTGTTTTTCTGAAACTGCACGAAGAGCAATTTATTCTTGCACAAATAGTATTTTTATCCACTGTAGCCCTCAGTGCACAACCACATTTATTATGTCCTCTCCTGCCACATACATGTACCTACATTACACACACACGCATGCACACACACGCATGCACACATTTACACACACACTTTTTTCTTCTCAGCCTAAAACCCCATCTACCTCTGGTGCTGCTTTGTGGGGGTTTTATCAAGCACGTTTGTATCAAAGTGCTCACTGGTCCCAACTATTGCCGGATCCTTGCTACATGAGCCATCAGTGTCCTGAGTGCCTCAGCTTAGTCTCACGTGTCTGCCAACCTAAGACTAGACCAAGAAGAAAAACAGTGCAGATGAATGCTGAGTGTAAATTAGTATGTCATTGCTTTACTGGTTGGCACATGCCTTCACCAAGACTTGGTAGGTTCTTAAAAAAGACACCTTTAAAAAGAATCGTGGGGGGCTGGAGAAGTGGCTCAAGTGGCATAGTGCCTGCCTTGCAAGTGTGTGGAGCCCTGAATTTAAACAGAAAGAGAGAGAGAGAGAGAGAGAGAGAGAGAGAGAGAGAAGGAAGGAAGGAAGGAAGGAAGGAAGGAAGGAAGGAAGAAAAAAAGAAAGAAAGAAAGGAGGGAGGGAAGGAGGGAGGGGAGGAGAGGGCAGGGGAGGAGAGGGGAGGGGAGGGGAGGGGAGGGGGAGAAGGAAAAGACTAAAGGGAGAGAAGAGAAGGGAGGAAAGAAAGAAAGAGGAAGGGAAGGAAGGGGAGGAAAGGAAGAAAGGAAAGGAAGGAATGAAGGAAGGATGGAAGGGTGTATATTGTCCTAACCTTACACTACTTACAAAAATTAACTAAAAATGGGAGAAAAGCCCAAATGTAACAGAAAAAACTGGAAAAGTCTTAGAAGAAAGTAGAGGAGAAGTTTCATGACATTGGATTTGGTATCAAAAGCATAGGCAGCAAATGAAAAAATAGATAAATTGGACTTGATCAAAACAAAAGACTTTGCAGGTGGAGTGACTCAAGTGGTACAGCACCTGCCTAGCAAGTGTGAGACCCTGAGTTCAAGCCCAAGTACTGCCAAAACACACACACATACACAAACCAAAACAAAAACCCTGAACAAAATAAAAACTTAGCTGAGGATATAGCTCAGTGGTAGAGCACTTGCCTTGCATTCATGACTGAGACCCTGAACTCAATACCAAGTGCTGCCCCCTCCAAAAAACCCAAAAACCAACCAACCAACCAAAATAAAACAAAAGCAACAAAAAAACCCAAACCAAGTTTGTGCTTCAAAGGACATTATCAAGAAAAATAAAAGTAAACCCATGGTGGGGGACAAAATATTTGGAAAACCTATTCAGGTGAAGGATTAATAAAAAGAATATATGAAGAACTCCTATAACTCAGTAACCAAAAAGCCAACACCCTAATTAAAAAATGGGCAAAGGACTTCAGTGGACATTCCTCCAAAGGAGATCCACAGATGGCCAGTAAGTGCACAAAGATATTCAGCACTGACCATTAGGGACAAACAGTTCAAACTACAATGACAGACCACTCCTCACCCATTATGATGGCAACTATACAAAAAACAAACGAGCAAGCACACAAGTATGTGGAGAAACTGCGCCCCTTGTGTGCTTGTGCTATGGTGCAGTCACTGTGGAAAATAATATAGTGGTATTTCAACCCTCCTGAGGCTCCAAAAAAACAAAGCAAGCAAAGAAAAAACTAACAGACTCCTGGCAGTATTATTCACAATATCCCTAAATGTCTTTTGGTGAATGAACTGATTAAGAAAATGTGGTATGTGCATACAACGAAATATTACTCAATCTTAAAAAGTAGGGAATATTTTATGAATCTCAGAGACATTATTCTGAGCAGAATAAACTAGTTACAAGAGGACAAATGTATTATCCCACTTATATGAGGTGCACAGAGACAGAAATCAAAGTGGTGCCATCAGGAGCTGGAATAAGGAATAGGAAGTTATGGATTAATAGGTACAGAGCTGCACTTTGGTAAAATGAAACATTTTGGGGGATGAATAGTGACGATGGTTACAAAACTGCACAAATGCACTGAACTGCACGAACTGCACACCTAAAAACAGGTAAAATGATAAATTCTGTACTAGGCACATGAACCTGGGAAAACCAGCAGGGTTAACACAAGAATAAGAGGTGGAAGGAGCACAGATTTCCAAGTGAAAATGGGAACATGACCTGAAAATAGTTTCTATTTTCCAGCCTTTTCTAGTTAATGCAGCCTTTTCTCTCTAAGCTTGCTATTCAAATGGAAAAGAAATCAATATGTTAGCAAGGAAAACTTCTTCCCCCAGTGGTACTGGGGCTTGAACTCAGGGCCTTGAACTTGCTAGGTAGGCGCTGTACCACTTGAGGGAAGTGAGACTAAATACTAGTGTGAGACCTAGTCAGAAAGTGTCTTTACTGCTCAAGATTAAGACTGGAGCTAGTCTTAACTGTAATTATAATTCCTTCATGGCTTTCTGCTTTAAGTTGTTCTGACGTGGACAATCTACCTTAGAAGAAAAGATGATTTGGTAATGTTAAGAGACTTTCTTGTCAAAATTGGGCCCGATCTCCATGGAATGGTTCAGCTCAGCTCAGTGGTTCAGTTATACCACATTAACATTTCTGCTAGGGGTCACTGGTAATGGGGCAGGATATCTAAATATTCATGAACTTAAATATTTACTCCTTAAACGTTCTTGTTGTGCCCCAGAGTGTGAAGACCTGATAAAAAAAAAAGCTGAGCCTCTCACTTTAAAGAAGAAACAGGGATAGGGAAGTTAAATGACCAAGCCAAGACATGTATTCTGGCTTGTTCGTCTGGGCTGGCCAATAGGACTTGAAGCATTTCATAGACAATAAATGAAAAGAACTTCTTTTGTTCTCTTGGTCCCCAGAGCCAGAACCGAGCAGAAGCGGTGCCCATAAGCACCAGCGAGTGAACGGAGGCTTCACACCTGCTTGTCCTCAGGGACCGCGGTGGTGTGCAGTGTGGATTGGGAGCTACTGTCTTCTACTTTACAACCTATTTTGGATGGGGTGGTTAAAGGAGAGGGCAGAAGTGTTTGTTTTTAAAGTTTCTATAGAAATATTTATGGTTTTAACTCTTTTTGAGTTGGTAATACTTGGTTTTTCCATGTGCAAGGTACAATGAACATCGCCATATACAATGAGTAGGGATAGGTGAGAGAGTGAGGATAATCTGTGCGTCTCTAGAACACAGTCTGACATCACTAAGAGCTTCAGTAAATAGTTTATTCTCACTAGCCCAAGAATTCCATTTATAGACATTTGTAATCAGAGGTTCATACAGGCATGTACACTATAGTATAATGACGTGAACATAAGATTTAGATGTGCTATAATAATATATTCAACAGTATTACCAGGCACCAGTGGCTCACACCCGTAATCCTAGCTACTCAGGAGGCAGCGATCAGGAGGATGGTGGTTCGCAGTCAGCCTAGGCAAGTAGTTTGCAGAAACCCTATCTCGAAAATACCCCACACAAAACAGGGCTGGTGGGGTGGCTCAAGTGATAGAGCATCTGCCTAGCAAGCGTGAGGCATTGTGTTCAAACCCCAGTACTGCCAAAAAAAGAAAAAGAAAAAAAAACCCAGTATGAAAATGATTCATAAATTATGGCATAGCCATAGGTTTAAAATTCCTATTTAATGTTCTCTACTACGTTAACCTTGTTAAATAAAAATTAAACAAACCAACAACCAACAAAATAGGAGTAGGGTTGGGGGCCTCGCTCAAGTGGTAGAGCGCTTGCCCGGCATGGTCAAGCTGGGTTCAGTCCTCATAGTCATGGGTTCAATCCCCAGTACCACTACAACATTAATTGTAGTGAGCGCTGGGTTATGAGATTATGGATAGGTTTTATATTTTTCTATAATTTTTAAATTTCCTTCAATTTTTCTTCTAAAAAAAAATTCACCAAGAAAAAGAAAGTGAGCTCTCTAAATCCCTGAATTCAGTGAAGTAATTCCAAAGGCCAGCCCAGCAGATACAAAAAAAGACTTACTTTTTTTTGGGCACAGCAGGGTCACAGCAGTGCCTCCTTTCACAAAGGGAGGGATCTGTGGCCTCCACCATTTGGACCTGGGTGAGGGCTGAGGGTCTGGCTGGGGAGGGCTGGCCCAAGTGTGTTAGGGCAAAGTTGTGCAAATGAGTGTCCTTCATGTCCTCTCTGCCTGTGTCATAGCATCATCACCTCAGAACAGCAGTCTCCTGCTTGCAGAAGTACATAGCTGTCAAAGTACTTTCACGTATGTTCTAACTCACAGGACGGTCATGAGTTGAGAATCTGGTGTGATAGTTATTTTTTCTTTATGTGACAGAGAGAGACCAATTTAGAGAGAGTCTGAAGATTATTGAAAATCACAAATACTACCACACAGAACCCCAGCCCCGCTTACACAGAGACCTTTCCTTGTGTCCCACATGCTGAAAGACAGTCTAGAACACTGCTGACCTCTTTTGGGTAGATTAAAAGGCAGGTCTATAACCATCACGGAATTCCTTGTCTCTTCACTCCAAGCGTGCTCACACAGGCACCAGCAGCAGTGTCCTCTCAGGCCCCAAAGTTGTGAGGTGTACAAAGCAATAAGGATTTACACTGTGGGCTCAACATGACTCATCACGGTATCACCACATAAACACACACCAGGTACTCTTTGTCTAAGCAGGAAATATCCTCATTGGTAGGAAGGAAAAATTATGTTCTTAAGTAGAAAAGGATTCTGGGAGGTGTACTCACCAAAAACTACCAATTCAACTGGTCTGATTCCTTTCAAGATGTAGAACAATGGTACACAGGCAAATTCAGGAAGAGTGTTTGGGGTTTGTCTGTTCAATTTTTAGAGTGCTCTTTGAGGCAAATCCTAAAAGAAAAAAAGAAATGCTAGAAATGGGTTCTATTTCAATATAAGTTTCACAAGTGCATTAGAAATTGGGCGGGGGGACATTTTCTTTAGAAAATGAGCTATCATTATTCCAATTATCACGTTCTCCACAATCCAAGAAATGTAACTCTTCATCCTATCCTTGAAGAAGTGGGGAATAATGACGAGAAAATGCCCAGTGTCTTCCATTTTTTTCCCTTTAGGGCACTGGTGACTTCCAGATACACAGTGTTTAGGAAGCAATACAGAAGTAGCCTATATTTTATGCTTACAGACTTACAAAAAGATGAGCTAATGTCTTTTATAGAGATGAAAATATCTACCTCATGGGCCTCCCTGCTCCACTGGGGACATGCTTTACCTCACTGTTAGATCACTGTCCTGCCCAGTCCAGAGAAGGTCCCTACCCACTGAACCAAGGGCCCCAGTCAATCAGAGCTGGTATGAAAGTGACTTATTATTCTGTCCTAAATTGCATAATTAAGACTTTTTTTTTTTTGGTGGCACTGGGGTTTGAACTCAGGGCCTCACATCTTTTTAGGCAGGTGCTCTACCACTTGAGCCACTGTATCAGCAAGGGCTGAGTTTGGAACATGCTCTGTCTACCTTCATTGGAATGACTGGTGCTCAGAAGACTCTAATGTAACTGGAACATAAGCATCAATTTAACCAAAACCTAGTCTTAATCCTTATCATCAGTAATCTCCTCAAAGACAAAAAAAAAAAGAAGGTCATAGCCTAAAATTAATAGGGCTATAGGAACTGAACGATTGACTTCTCAATGCACGTAATCCCTACCCAACTCTGAGAAGATGATTCCCTAAACGCTTCACCTGGATGACACTGTAATCACTGGCACGGTTTGATAAAAACTATGAAAATGAAAGTGCAAATTACAAAGTGTGTCTTAAAACAGCTGTATAGGCTGGCTACTCAGGAGGCAGAGATCTGGAGGATCAGGAGGCAGAGATCTGGAGGATCACGGCTTAGGGAAATAGTTAGTGAGACCCTATCTTGAAAAATACCCACCAAAAAAAGGGCAGGAGGAGCGGCTCACATGGTAGAATGTCTGCCTAGCACGCGTAAGGCCCTGAGTTCAAACCCCAATACCACCCAAAAAAAAGAAAAAGCTGTATAATGTCAAGACAATAGGATAAAATTTAGACGCCTACTCACTCCTACATTACTAACTAAGCGAATCTGGACAAGTTTACTTAGCTTTTGTGAGTCTCCATAAAGTAGAGATAATTCAGAGAAAATATTTATAGAGCACTATTCCTGGCACATGTTATTTGTGCAGAATTTTAAGTTTCCTCAATGCAATGGCAAGAGTTCCCTTTTACAAAGTGCTTTTGGGGTAGTGGACAGGTAGACGATGAAATTACTGTATAATGGAATGCAGGATTCATGTGGCTTTGTGCTGCGTTATGATGAGGGAAAGAAGGATCACACGCGTGGCTATTGAAACAAGAAAAAACTTCCTCAAAGTAAAACACTTTGCTCAATTGTGTATTTCCAGAAAATTCCAATTCTCTAGAGTGGCTTCACATACAATCCATTTCATAACATTTTTAATACTTGTCACAAAAATCCTCAAGCAGAATCTGCGTTCCACATTTCCCCTGTGGCTTGATTCTCCTTGTGAAGCAGTATTGGGTGGCCAGAGCACCCAGTTTGAGAAGCCCAGCACTAGTCTAAACCTTTGCATTTCCCTGTGGAGGAAATCGTCGTACAAGGGCCACACAGTAGGTCGGGAATACATTGCTGAGGTCTGGGAGGCAGTTCCTAGAGAGATGTGGTTTCGAGAGATTAAGTGGTTAATGCAGTCCAGCCCTGCCACCGTCCTTTTGTGCTGTGAAAGTGCTGCAGCTGTCACAGAGTCTTTATGAAGACCAAATGGGGAGACTTCTGTAGACACAGTAAGAAGGAAAAGTTACAGCGAGCAGAACGATGGTTTGCTTTTTGTTTTTGTAGCATGTGACTCTCACAGCGTCACTACAAGAATTAAATGACTGCATTCGGAAGCATGTTGTAAACTGCCAGCCAACAGCTCCTGCCCGGACAACGGTAGTAGCTTCCCAGGCTGGCTTCGTCCTAGTCACTCCTGCCCACTGCCATCAATCCGGTTCTCCCTGCAGGTCAGAGGCATACCATCTTCCTGCCCACCCCTCCACACTCCACACTCTCTTCTCACTGCATTTTTTGGCAGTACTGGAGTTTGAACTCACCCACCTGGCTAGGCATTTGAGCCACTCCTCCAGACCTCTCACTGTCTTTAGAATAAAGCCTTGTCCTTCGTAAGGCCTAGAGGTGTTCAGTCCTCCTACAGTCTCACCTTGTGTCTGTCTCCTACTCTCGATGCTTCCACCCCTCCCCACTTCCGTCCCCCAGCCAGCTTGTACTCAGCCTTAGATGTCACTCCTCCCAAGCCATTCTTTCTATATTCCCATGTGCCATACAACCCCTATAGCCCTCCTCCTAACACTAAATTGAGCCACACAAAACTGCCATACTGAGGGACAGACGGGGCAGGATTTGGGCAGTTTTTCATGGCTTAACTTTATAGCAATTGCTGTAACAGTGGTCATCTTCAGCCAACTTTCAACTCTACCAGGGCAGAACCTAGGTCTGTCTCACAACTACAACCTCAACGCCTTATGTATGCCCAACCTAGCCCATGTGGTAAGGTGCTCGAGTGTTTAATTAATGTGAGATGTTGTTATGACCTTTTTAATGTTTTTAAGCACTTAATTTTTATATTGCTGTTGGTAGTTTAAATCATGTTTTTATTTTAAAAGCTTCTGTTTCATAGGAATAAAGATTTTTTTCATGGAATGAAAAAATCACTTCTATCACTTCTAGTATTTTTGGAAAAAATAAACTCTAGTAAGTGCAAGCTATATATATATATGTATCGAGGATAGAATTTAGCCCACTTGGGTAAGGTATCACTTACGGATTTTTTTAAAGCTCAAATGTCTCTCAGTGCTAGGTAGCATGAAAAGAACTCTCACAGGAAACCACATGACTGGGATTTATCGCCTTTTTTTACAACTTTTCCATGTGACAGCAAATCAGCTAAGGAAAAAAGACAGCATCTAAAGAGTGCTAGACTTGACTTCCCCGTGACATTCAGAAGGAATGCAAGCTGAAATGTTCCCAACCACCTTACGTCACATCTGTGTCCCTCCCGAAATGAAGAGAGCAAAGATGAAGTATAATCCAAGCTCGAGTGACGTATGGGGTGGGCTAGGCAAGCCACAAGCTAAGCATCAGTAACATTAATGACGGCGATGACGGGTAATATTCACTGAGTGTTCACAGCAGGCCTGCGCTAAGCACTGCACATCATCATCCTACTCAGTTACTACTACAAACTTGGGAACTGAGCAAACCGGGGTACGGGAAGGCCGTCCAATTGCTAAGGCCCGTTAGCTGAACCTGATGAAGTCAGGATTCAAACTCAGGAGCTCTGAGAATAGAACCTCTGCTCTTATTTGCTTTGCTCTGTGGGAAAATCCAATTGCTCCTGCCCCTTAGTTTGGAAAGGTGGAAAATTCAAATTTGTGATACAAAATGACAAACTGCTATAAGCGAGGGTCTAAGGTGTGTCTCCCAGAGGCTCACATGTCAAAGGCTTGGTCTCCAGCCAGGAGCACGTCTGGGAGGTGGTAGAACCCACCTCATGGGAGATCTTAGGTCACCGAGGGCATGCCTTGAAGGGGACAGTGGGACATGACCCTGACTCTTTCTTTTTCACATCTTGGCCATGAAATGAGCAGCTCTGCTCTACCATGTCCTCCCCACTGTGATGTGCTGCCTCACCACAGGCCCAAAGCATCGGGGCCAGTGGATGATGGAATTGAACCTCCAAAACTGTGAGCCCAAACAGACCTTTCCTCTTTGTAAGTTGATTGTCTCAGGTATTTGTTACAGTAACAGAAAGTTGACTGAACACGAAAATGATTCCAGATGTCAGTGGCTCTGTGCATGGCATAGCCACAGATTGCAAGACCCACCATCTCAGAATTTTGCCAGTAGTCCCAAATAGTTCACATTAAGCAATAAAAGATACTCTCAACATAGGTTAAGACTAAAGACAGGAGTTTAATTTTGGGGGTGAGGAGCAGACAATGTCAGAAGCTCATGACTATCATAATATATCTGATACTGGCCTGGAAGTGTGGCTCAAGTGGTAGAGCACTTTTACTGGGGTCCACCTCCAGTACTGCAAAGAAAAGGAAAGAAATACCTGGTATTCCAATTTGTCCCCTAGATTCTTAAAAAGTCATCACATTTTGGAAAGTTTTTGAGAAATCACTGATTCTACAAAATAAGTAAAGGAAGCCTGTTATTTCCCTTTCTACTGCTTGGTCAATAAATCCCTAATCAGACAGTTCCGTCTTGCTAATAGTTAACAAAATTATCTACCTTTTTCAGTAAGTAGCCAAGAAAAGGAACATCCTAAAATTCACATTGTGGAAATACGAGTTTTAAAATAAACACCAACTACTGAATCTTTGTGTATGATTCATAGGTGGTGGCAATGAGATTATCTCTCCCTTCCCCCTCCATCCTTGGCACCGACATTTGACCCTTTTTATAATATGCACCTTGTACCAGTGAAACCTAAAGTGCCACGAGTTACTCATTAAACTTGGGTGCCAGGGCTGACTTGTACAAATGACACTGTTAACCGCCCAGCCTGGGCTGTGTGCAGAAGTGGAAAAGACCAGTCATCATAGCTGTGAAATTCTGTCCTATATGCAGAATTGAACGATGAATTGTAGCAATTTGTGCCTGACCTCTGATCTGAGGTTAGTCTAGACCTTTGAACCTCAGCTTGGAATTGAGAAATTACATTTACTTGTCCTGGAGAAGATGGTTAGCAAGGGTTTTCTGAAGCCAGGTGAACAGTTAATACTTGACTATTGCTCGGCCCCCAAACCAAGGTCCCCACAAAGACTAAATGAAAGAGA